TAGATACGAATATACTGCTCTCTATAAATACATGAAACGTATCCCATGTAACGAAAGTGTATCAATTTACACAAAGCTAGCAACTTGTCAACACTGAAACACACAGGGAGGCCATTCAAAACTTTTTTCGAACTTTTTTGTATTGTTTATACGGTCATTATGGCTTGTATTCTATTCCTAGAACCGCCTTTTGCTTGATTTTTAYGGACATCTGCTCTTAAATGCAAATTTTCCTTGAAAAGTCCTTGAAAATGATAATTTAGTCCTTGAATCAGTCTTGGTTGCTGTGAAGTAATGTTTTAGAGATCTGTCTGTTGTACTATTGTGCAATACGGCAGTAAAGGAATTAAAAGAGATTGAGAAAAATATGTTCCAAGAGATAAAGTTCTTAAACAAAGTTGACTACAATGTTTTTATTGTTCTGTTTGGTAAGACACAGGACTAGTAAGTTTATTAACTGTATCTTTCTCTTTGTGATTGGTGTCCTTGAAAATTGAAAATTAATCCTTAAAAAGTCCTTGAAAAGTCTTTGAATTTTATATGTAAAAATCTGTATGAACCCTGTTACTTAACGAATAGAATTTTAAATAAACGATTTATGAATATAGTTTTATAATTTAACTTCGGTTCTGAAGTAAACACAAGCGAGCGCCGGTGAGATGAATACCACTCGAGCTACAACTATGAGTAAATGGTGCCACGACCAGAATAGTCTCCTCGCAGCCGTGTTTAGTTTCGGTCACGCGTCACGCAACCTCTCTGTGTGTAAAACATGTAAATTGAAATTCCTTCCAAAACGTTTTTGTTTATCAAAATAATCAACTGATCTACCCTCTGCTACATATATTGTACTACTTGTTGCAGATCACACACCTTGTTCTTGATTAACTTTAGCCAAGGAATTGAAACTTTCTCAAAAGAATTAATTCTAATTGCAACAAAAAGTGAATAGAGTGCACGGCAAAAAAGTGTGAAACAATTCTTAACAATCAATAACTAATAGGATTTAGTTATCAACTAACTAAACTAAAAATTGAACACAATACCAGAAAAGGAAATYGTCTTTGTTTACGCCTCACCAAATTCTTAGTTAGTTGATAACTAAATCTTATTAGGCGCTAATTAGTTAAGAATTGTTTCACACTTATGTGGCGTGCACTCTAAAATTGCCAAGTAAGTTTATTGTTTTTTTTTATTTTCGAATAGGAAATTTATATATTAGATAATCAATATATTTCACAATTACAGCTGTAATATAATTGTACATATATTTATTGTCATCATTCAGACTTATGTCTGCAAGAGGTTGAAATGTTCATTTGTTGCTTTTATTGTTTAATGATTAAACCAATGCTCTCTTGCTGTTTTCTCGGGAGGTGGTGACATTTCCCAATTGAAAACTTGGAAGCATTGCTGAGGCCCATGGTGGGAAAGGGGAGAGACTTGTAATAATTATTAACCTCATCAATTTGATAGCTAATGTTGCATAAAAATTGTTTATGAAGATACAGCTCTATCTCACAAGTCACTTACTTGCAATTTTAGATAGTGAATTTAAAGTGAAAAAGGTTAGAGGAGCAGTTTTTAATACAGACAGTGGTTTATTATGCCTCCTCCTCCTCCTCCTCCTCCAGGACCACCTCCACCACCAGTGCCCTCAGGTCCACCTGGTAACAATAAAAAGGTTTCAAAAGCATCTGAAAGGGGAGCATTACTAAATCAAATCCACAAGGGAGCTAAACTAAAGAAAACTGTGACCAATGACAGAAGTTCTCCAGCTGTAGGAAGTAAGTTTCACAGCTAACAAGTAARCTCAAGTAAAATTTTTATCATCTTGGGATTCGTTTTAGGAGGTCCATCATTAGGAGTCCGCATATCTCAGGGACCGCGATACATATTTTTGATTGAGGGGTGTAACGAYGGCCGAAGTCGGAGTAATAATGGGGGTATTGAGGGTCCTCCCCCAGAAAATKTTGAAATAATAACTCTAAAAAAATGCCATGACCAGCATGGAGAGCATATAAAAGGCATTAAATTTATGTGAAATTTAATTATTCGTGAATATTTCTTTTTCCACCCCCTGCTACAAAGAAGGGGTGAAAGAGTTAAATATTTCATTTGGTTTTAAAAAAAGTCGGTACTACCGTAATAAGGGGGTATGGGGGTCCTCCCCCAGAAAATTTTGAAATAATAACTGTAAGAAATGCGATTTTCAGCATTTTGAGGGGCATCGAGAACATATAAAAGGCATCAAATWTATGTGAAATTTTAATATTCGTGAATATTTCTTTTTCCACCTCATGCTACGAAGAAGGGGTTGGAAGAGTTRAATATTTCATTTGGTTTAAACAGAAGTCGGTACTACCCATGCTCGATATTTTTTCCGCCATATTGGTGTTGCACGATATTTTTTTAGGTTGGAGAGCTTGCTCGATATTTTTTTGGGGGGGCTTAGGGTTACAAAAATCAAATGGACCGTCCCTTAGTAGGCGGAAGTAAAGTGTGAGGGGACATTTAATCGTTGGCGTCATAATTGGTTCAAAACTTTGCAGTGAAGCCACAAGCGCATTTTATGACGTCAGGAGTATGTCAAAACCGTGTGAAATTTGTTGAATACACCTTTTCAGTTGCTCTTAGGCCTCGACAGCGTGTTAAATATTATTCTTTTGAATTTGTAGGAATGTGAGCAATGCAAACATTGATATGAATAGTCTCATTTGTCAAATTCAAAAGAATAATTAACTTGCTATCGAGGCCTAAGTGCAACTAAAAGGTGTATTGTTACTACTATAAATCAGGAGCACATTACTAGGAGCAGTAATGGGCTTCTGTATAAAGCTAAATAAATATGGATAATAAGTTTGGTAAAAATTGAAAAATCGAYTGYCTGACGTTTAGGTGGGGCTAAACGTCGGCGAGAGTRTAACGCGTATAACTCTACTTGCCATTCTTTCGTCCACGTTTAACTGCTCTAGAATTAAGATGAATGTCCAAGGATTCCTCTGAAGCATTTCGTCACTGAATTGCTTTTCAGGATGTTATTTTTATCAACAATTTCCTAGCCTCGTAATACTCCATTTTCGAAWTCAAAGCGAACAACCRCTGCTTTAGACCTTACAAACACAAAAGGGATTGTAATGTGTAATAAAGCTTTTTTTATACCACATGTACGTATCATGAACATACTTAGTATAAGACTCAGAGTCTAAGTATCGCGGTAAGGGCAGAAATACACCTTCATTACCTATTGACTAGTTTGGTTTTACACAATTTATACTTCATATGACTTCATATGATGCTGATGTTTTATTATAAGTACTTATATTTGCTCGAAAGAAGCTACATGAGGTATTGTTTACATGTTGTCTGTTTGTTATCACGTTGCTACGCGACTTGATATGTTACGAATCCGTGATTATTTGATTATTCACAGATCGCGATGCTAGAGAATGCTGTGATTTCCAAATTTGTCGTGGCAATTGCACATAAAAGTTTCTGACTACTTAAGAGCCGCTTCGCGCAAAAAACCAGACAAAACTGAAATTTTTTGGCAAGGCTCGAAAAATCAAACCTATTCATATTTTGTATATTGATAAGGTATGATTAGGTAACAATCGCTGTGTAATTGGTTTTTGAAAATATTTCATTTTTCGCAAGAAAATCGCTAATTAATGTCACATACTGGGCCTTTGCGTGACAGATACCTGATTGCTAAAAATAGCTCTCAAAATAGACAAACTTTATGAATTACCGAGTTCATGTAAAAACTAAAATAGCTATTATAAAAATTTAAATTGTAGCTTTCTTACTAACTCTTTGATATTTATTTCAATGATTTTCAGACCATTCAATTAAAAGGATAATTATATAGCCACATATTAATCCCAAATAGGTAAAAGCTGGATTTTTCGTTAATTTTGGAATCCTGTCCAATTAAGAAATTAATTGGACAGGTTTTCAATTGGGTTTTTGTTAAAAGCTATGGTTGGCTTTTACCTATTTGGGATCAATATGTAGCTATATAATTAATAGGTAATAAGACTCCATGCTGTCCAATTAAGAAATAATTAGACTCGAAAAATTCCTCTGACTGCCAAATTGGACTCGGCCACGGCCTCGTCCAATTTTTGGCAGTCCTCGGAATTTTCCTCGTCCAATTATTTCTTAATTGGACAGCATGGAGTCCTATTACATATAAAAATTTTCTGGAACTCGAAATATTCGCATATGTATTTTTATGTGCAAATTAGTACCTTTACAAAACGATCACTTTTTAAACGTGCAAGTATTTTGTTTGCAATAAAATTCGGAGTGATTACTAAACAAAAGATGAGCTTTTCAAATATATAAAAATTAGTCTGGGCAAATCACTCTCAGTTGCATAGAAATGAATACTTTTGGCGATGATAATCCGTTGAAACACCAAATGTTTTAAACAACCGACATTCATTGCTGCGAACGAAGTGAGCAGCAACACTATTCTCGAAGGGCTTCGATTGGGATCCCTGTGCGGTGCGAAACCAAACCGGGAAGCCTGGGTTGCAATAACAAGCGGTGTCGAAAGACGATAGCATGGGCTAGCTAGCTAGCGATCGACAATTTGCGCCCACAGTAATGCTTACGTAATCAGCGGTTATTTGCGCCCACACTAATCTTTAGGTAGTCATCGGTTATTGTCAAATAAATCATCAATGCGCGACGTACACCTCGTGCTTTCTCTTTTGCGAAGGTGAGTTGGAATTATTTATCATGTTTAGTGCAACTTTATTCACTCGGGGAAGTATTCATCAAGGTGATAGTCATTTTAGCGACATTTCTAGAGTCTTTCAGCTTTGTTAAGTGCGAATTGTGGCGATATTTCTGCATGGACAACCGAGACGGTGGATCGTGTTTTATACGAAGGAGATTCCATGTTTTTAAAAGCATTCGAAGAACGCTCTATACCTGATGAAGAGACGATTTCTCTTAATTATCTGCCAAATCGAGTCCTTTGGTCCACTATGCCACAGAATCGACCGCTTATCGAAGCAAACAAACAAAATCAATCACTTGACATGGT